AACAACCCATGATTCCAAATAATCTAATAAATGAATGAACAAACCCAAGATTCCGATAATGAATAAAACAAATAAAATAAAATTTTTAATTCGAATAAACTTTTAAATTCGAATAAACTTTTTAATATTAATATTAATTCAAATTAAATTTTTAATTCGAATAAATTTTTTAATTCGAATCAAAGGTCAACTGTATTACGAATAATTCGAATAAGAATTTGTATTACTAATAGAAACCCTAATCTAGTACCAGAAATAATAGAAAAAGCACACATTTTTAGATGTATGATACCAGAGTATATAAAATTCATCATACAACTAGTAAAAGTTTAGAATCTGATCCAGGTTCATTAGATCTAAAATTTTTAGAATCTGAATCTGGATCCTTTAAATTTATAATAAACTTGTTATTATTAATTTGTCAGTTAAATTCGTGTCAATCATATTGTAATAATATTGTTTTTTGACATGGTCAGAATTAGCAACATTTAGAATTAACATCAGGAAAATTATGTATTATATAATAAAAAAATAAAAAAATAAAAAAATATGAAAATAAAGAAAAATAACTAATTATCTATCTACTCATCAACAATTTATCCATCAACTACTTATTATCATTGTAATTAATTAATTAATAATCATATTCATATTAATAAATTAATTAACTATTTAATTTGCCTGATTAAAATTGTATGTCATTAACATCAAGGTCACTCAATAAACTATCATTGCTTTTTAAGTTCAACTTAACAAATTCATCATTTACATCATTTAATATTCTACTTGTATGATATGCTAATGGATGTGGTTTGTGGATTTGTTGTGAATTACTACTACTAATACTACTAATATCATTATTATTATTGATAATTTCTTTTAGTTGATCCTCAGCAAAATCCCAAAGTACTCCAATAGTTGGTCTCTTGGCTGGATCCGCATCCCAACACCTTTGCATCATTTGTACATAATCATACCTCCGATATTTAAGCAGACCCTCCAAGGAGGTGCATAAAGAAGCGGATATTGTAGAGCAACCGAAAACCAGTCATTCTTTCATTTTCTTCTCTTTTATTATCCAGCATTTTTGTTTGTTTATAGAAGTATTCCGTTTAGCAAAATATTTAATCAATATAAAGAATTTGGCAATTACTATGCTTTTGTCAAAAAGTTGTCTACAGAGAATGGGTAATTATATACAGCAAAAGAGCTCCCAATTTTTCGTATCAAGACAAATGCTCAACGAAGAAAATTCTCATCCATAAAAAAAAGCCAAGTTCTCAAAGAATAAAAACGATCAATTCTTCTTTTTGTATTTCTAATTCGCATAATAATTTCTTTTTAAATTACTAATTGAGGACGCGTTACAAAGGAAAAGGACTAGCTAGAGTCGAACGTTTATGGCCCCAAGTTTTATTTCCCACAAACCATTCGTTAATTACTCGCACAGAATATTTTTAAATACAAAAAAAAAAAATTTATACAACTTCCACGCGTGATATTTGATGATGCTATTATATATTTCTTTTTATTATTCTTTATTCTTTAAATTCATAAAGTATTGGCTAAATAAATTACATCACAAATTTAAAATTGTAAATAAAAAAATAGAGTAATTGTTCCTCCGAATATTAAATCCAAGATAATACTATGCTTATGTATCAGATTTAATAGAACAATCCCTTCATGCGACCCTCACCATTAATCCTCATGGCAGGGCAGGACAATGATCTCTGGTAGCAGAATAAATCAAAACCTGACAGTGTATCTTTGGGTCAAGAAGTTAAAATAATATGGAAAGTTAATCACCATCCATCCACCAAGAGTGATTTTGATCTTGAGAATTTTCAATGTATTAAAAATAAAATTTTTGTAATGAATTAATTTCTTATCTTGCCTGCTACATAAAGACTAATCTGCTTGCATATTATATCAATATTTCAAATGCATAATTTCCTTCGATGAGACAAAGAAACCAAAGGATGGTGGGAAGCTCGTTAAATGATAACTAACATCATAATATTTAAATTGACCATTACTGCATTTATGGCTTTTTCTTCTTCATGCCAGAGATTTGGATGACACGCATTTGCAGCTTTAACAGGTTCTTCAAAAACAAAGGTGATTTTTCATCGCATCATATTTTAAATATTTTAAGATTTTCATTATTTGTTAACTTTTTTAATTTCAAAATACAATATAAATAATTTTTTATTTAATTAGTAATATACTATATAAAATTAATAAAAATAATTAAAATAATTAATAATTAAAATATATAAACATTCTTTAAATATTGTTTTTTTTTTAAAAAAAAATTTACAGATATACTCAAAAATAATCTTTAATTCTAAACCTTCTTTAAACAATTAATAATAATTTGTTAATATTCAAAATTATTTAAAAATGTTTATGATGTTCTAATTTACCAATATCATGTTTTCCATCACAACATTGTCTTACATTTTCTAAATCTTCGTCATCACTATCAACATCATCATTATGATTATGATGATTATGGTTATGATGATGTGATTCAATAGGCGAAGTTGGTGATGAATATGCTGCTGCTCCTGTTCCTGTACCGTCTCTTCTAAATATTGATTGAAGTTTACTAAAACTAGATTTTTTCTTTATTTCTCTAATATTATTGTCGCCATTCTGGATCGAGTTATTAATATTGAGATTTCTTGCATCTGATTGACCATCCCATGCTTCTATATTCGTCTTTGTGGTTTTATTACCACCAGGTGATGATGGTATTGATGATTGTTGTTGTTGTTGTTGCTGATGTTGTTGTTGTTGATTTGATAATTGATTTTGTTGTCCGGGTGCAGCAGCACCATTTTGCATCGAATCTTCAGGCCTTTGTAATAAGTAATTTAACGCCTAAAAATTTATATAAATAATGGTCACACTTTATTATACATGCTTATGCTAGCACAAAGAATTGTATTTAATAGTATGAAATTTTTACCTGGAACCAATATTCATGTCTTTCTTTTGATTGAGCTGTGAATTTTAATTCACGTTCTGGAGTTTTAATAATTAAACTCATATGATGTAAACCTGGAGGTGATGGGTTATGATCTACTACTTGTCTAACAGACTCAATATATGCTAATAATAAAATTAGAATTTGAAATAACATTATTAATATTTTAATATACTTGTTTACAATTTCAATTCCAAATAATAATAAAGATGATTACCAAAATAAGACATTCCACTTTTAATTTTGGGATCAATTGGTTCATTGTTTCCAGGATCCTTACTACTCCAATATAATGTTTTTGTATAAGGATGTACCCAGAAGAATCTTTTATGTCTTTTTTCTGATATACCGGCACCAAAATTACGTCTAGTGTATTTCCATAGATATTCACCGATCATAGTTTGAGTTATAGCATGAATGATTGTCGGATCTGTTCCTGGTGTGGGACCAACAATCGGACTAGTTCCATTTGTATCCATATAGGAGGCATCGGATCTACGTTTTTGATCAGATGAAGTTGATGCAGTGCTAACTGTTGATATAGAGTCAGAACTTGGCGATCGTTGATGTAAAGTATTTGGATCATTTACATTATTGTTGTTATTAGAATTTGAATCGTTTTGCTTGGAATTATCGTCTGAATCTTGCAATGGATGATTTGGTAATTGAGGAGATCCCGCTTGTTGCCCAAAACTTACAGTTAATGGACGTTTTGGTTGATTATTGTTATTTTGTGATTTGTTTGCTGAGGAACTTAAATCCAATGTAAATCGATTTTTATCAATATTATTACCGATAATACTATTAATACTATTAGTACGACTATTGTTACTAGTATTATAATTTAATTGAGTTGATTGACGAATACTCGACACGTCACTCTTTGAATTTTCATAAGCCATAGTATCACGTTCACCAAATGTGAATTTTCCTGTGTTGAAGGTACACATCGAGTCAGTTTTAGATGATGTTGATATGGTTGGAACAGGTTCGATTACTTTATCTGTTTGCACTGAAATGTCTCTGAATACTTTCTTTGGTAACGGTGGTAATGCTTCTTCAGGAATGATGATTGAATGTTTTTTATTTAATAATGGCGAAATACTTGATTCACGTTTTGAGAATTTTTTAGATTCTCGTCTGGAATTGGTAGAAGCTCTTTTAGAACCAAACTCAATGTCGTCGGGTTCGTTGGCGGAAGCAAACGAATCTACTGATGAAACGTCATCGTTATCATCATCAAGATATAATTTCGGATTCTTTTTAATAAAATTAACATTTAGTTCCTCTTCTTCACTTTCTTGTTGCTCCTTCTTCTGTTCTTCATTCTCATCTTTAGTTAGATTATTAGTTTCATTCTCTTTTTCATCTGTAGATGATGTTGTTGGTGTTGATTTTATTGGTGATGTTGGTGTGCTGACGCCTTCTTTATCAACAGAATCAATTATTTGTTTTGAAATATCATCATATTCACTTATACGTTTGCGAACAATTGAATCTCTACTGTTTGAGTCACGAATTGATTGAGATTCGTTTGAAAGTATTTCAACAATTGAATCGGGTTCTTCTGATAATATTTGACGAGAAATTCTGGAAAATCGGGATGATCGGGATGATCGGGATGATTGAGTTGTAAATTGTTCATCAGATTTTGTCAAATTATTTAATGCTTCAGCTCTAGCAGCAGCAACCTCGCCATCTTTAGTATCATATTCTTCATCTGACTCCTCAGGAACTATGTCCTCATCAATTCTACTTGACATTATGGAACTTCTTACTGAACCTCTGCTCTTAACACCAGATTTCCAACCATGAGGTCTAAACATATCAGACGAAGGACGGTTATTTTTATTGATATCATCATAGCCCATTTCACCATTAGCACCATTGATTGATTGATCATCATCAGCACCGTAAACACCATTGACTACACCATTGTCACCAAAACCTTCTTCCATCAAAGTTTCATGGTTACGAACAGATCTATTACTCGCAGATGATGAACGCTTGAAACGACTGCTTGAACGACGATTTTTGAACATGCCAGAATTGATGGAGGTAGGATCATGAAATTCAGTTTCATATCTCATCATTTCAATTAATTCTTGACTTTCGGCCAATAATTTTTTAAGTTCATATTTTTCACTTTTTTCTTTTTGCAAATTTGCTCTGAGATTACCGACCATACGGTTAGAGATATTAAGAGCTTTCAAAGTCTCGAGTTCGATATTTAAATTTTTACCCATTAATGATTTATGAATGCTATTTCTACCGTCCTCAAGTTCAGAAGAATTGTCATTTGAGAAATTTTGTGAATTTTCATCATCATCATCATCATCATCACCATCACCATTTGAGATGCTATTATTATTCAAGTTAGACTTTTGATCTGGATTACGTTTATTACGTAGGCTTCTTGCAACCATCAAATTATCTAATTTACTTTTTAATTCCTCGATGGTTTTACTCATATCATTTTTTTCACGATTGACAGCGCTGATATGTCTACGGTTATTGGCCATATCTTGATCATGACGATTTTTCAAAGTTTCAAAATTGTTTGTTAATGCTTCTTCTTTATCTTTGAGTTGTTCTATTACATCAGTAGCAATAGCTAACGCTCTTTCCAATTTTTCATAGTCGCTACGTGATTTTGTGAATTGACTTTGAAGTTCAATTACTTGAGAATTTAAATCTTGTCTTGACAATTCAAGGTTCCAATTTTCTTCTTTATATTGTTCTATATTTTTATATATTTATGTTAGCATTTTTTATAAACATTATTAATAATTTCACCAAAAATGTTTGTTTATTTACCTTCATTTTCTTCTTTGGCACGAAGTTGTTTATTAAGTAATTCAATATTTCTTTCTAATTCACTTTTATCAGTTTCAAGTTCCTTTATTCTTTCCTCTTTTTCTTGTAACAGTGCTTGTAAACGTCTGACCTCCACCAATAAACCTTGACCTATCTCAGTGGCAAATTCGATGTCTTTTGTTCTGCCTTTTTGTCTTGACATATCGCGTCTACGCGAGGATGCTGTTACGGCAGGTGTATCATTTTGAGATGATCCTGACGAATCAATCCCGCCATTAACATCGCCATTACCCTAAAGGCATATATATATATATGCGTGTTAATATATATATACAGATATATATATATTTATGTAATCATCCCTTGATCAACTTACCGAGTTTAATAAACCTTTAGCGCCCAAGAAAACTTTTGCAGTATTTGCATCTAAATTCTTTGCTTCACGCTCAAGTTCATCCAATTTATTTTTCAACTCTAAAGGTACCTCGTCACCTTCGGTCTGATTCAACTCATTAAGTCGTTGTTCTAATTCAGCCTGTTGTTTTACAAGTGCAGCACCTAACTCGGCCGTCATTTGTATTTGATCGGCTTGTTCGTTAAATTGTTCCAACAATTGTTTTTTTAATTGCGTTACTGACACGCTGTTATTTAAAGATCTCCGTTTTGGCGATGAGGTTGCAGCAGCAGCCGTGGATGAAACATAAATGTCTTGAGTTGAACCATCATGTGAAAGTGTTATATGCGGTGTTGTTGGTGATGATGAATTATTATCGGCTATTTCTGTCATCTTTTTCTTTTCTCGCTTTTTATTTAATCAAAAAGAGAAAATGGAGAGAAATATTTATTTATTTATTTATTTATTTATTATTTATTTATTTACTATTATTAAAAAAATTCTAAAATTAAAAAATTAAAAAAAAAAAAACTTTAATGTGTAATATTTATAATTTGAACATTATTTTCTATAAAAATAAATCTTTTTCTTAGATAACAAATAAGTTATAGCTAAAAAAAGAGTGAACTAATAATAATATAAAACTTTATAGTATAATGTTTTTATTATTATAGTAATAATAAACAGTGTATGTGACCAAATGGAAAAAAGAAAGGATGAAGATGGAAGGAGATGGAAGAAAGGGAAATAAAAGGAAGGAATATAAAGGGGGAAAGTAATGTTTAAACGTAAATAAATAAATGTAAATGCGAAGCTTTAGAGATAAAATATCTAGAAAATATTTTTTAAAAGAATGTAAAATGAGAATAATTGACGGGAGAGCAGTGACTGTTTTTTGTGAGAAATAAACATGAAGTATACAATAATATATATTATGCACGCGTGTATGCAGTTGTGTTACTTCTTTTTTTCCAAATAAAAAATTTTAATTAATTTTTTGTTATTTATTATATATTATTTGTTTATTTATTTCACGTGATTAATGTTGTTTAAATTAAATAAAATTCAATATATAAATGGATATAATAAATATGTATAATATAAATAAATATTTACAAATAAGAATATTTAACAAGAATATTTAATTATATATCTCTATTTATTACTATTATTGGAGATCGCCAACGATCATATTGATTTGGATTATTTACATCGCCAAAAGGTCTCAATTCCTCAAGAATTAACTGATACCGGCCATTTGGTAGCGTACGTCTAACATTATTTCGATTATTTACAGCAACCGTCCCATCCCATCTTAACTCAGTGAATCGGTTCGTATAATTATTATTCTCATTATTTGAAGTGCGAGATGTATAGGTATCGATAAACACAGTTTCCAAAATATTTTCGTTCGCCACAGTGGCATACAAGACCCAACGTGACGTACCAAGATTGGATCTGAAATAGACCTTCGGTATATTATCATAATCATCTTGGAATGTATAGGTTGCTTCTTCAGTCTCGTTGTACAATTCATTAAAATCAGATGATAACAAGAATGGTGACGCAGGATTACTTGAAATTAGATTCATTGTAGTCAAATTTCCCTTTAATCCCTGATAAGGTACGCTGTAAGTTTCATGATTACATTCATCATTGACGATTATGAATCCTGAATATAATCCAAATTCGCTTGGCAATAATTGTGAAGGCTCTTTGATTCTTATTTGGATTGATTTTGTTTCTCTTGGACGTAATTTGATTGTATTTTTATGAAATGTCACTTTAGCATAAAATTTATTGATCAACATATCTCCAGTATTAACAATAGTATCATTGAAGAAACCTCTAACGGATCCGGCTGGTAAATGATCCAATGTGATTTTCATTGTTTTATGACTGAAATTTGTCAAGCTAATTGTTGCTGTACCAGAGAATCTGACTGTATCATTCAGCGATAATTTTCCTGGTGTTATATAAAGTTTGGTATTTAACGCTCTCTCAAGATTAATTAATCCGCCTCCTTGCTTGGTGACTGGCAGAACGATATCATTTTTATGGTTTCCATCATTTGAAGATTTATATGGTTCCGCAGTATAAATCAGAATATTTTTTAAAATGAGTGGATCAATATTGATTTTGTTGCGTGGATTTTTTCTAAAATTTTCCAAGTATAAAGCGACAAGGCCTGAGGTATAAGCGGCAGCGGCAGATGTACCAGAGAAAGTTCCATAGGAACCAAATTGAACAGGTAACGTGCTGAATATTTTACCACCGGGAGCCATTACTTCCGGCTTAATATCTAATTCAAAAGTGGGACCCCAAGAACTTGTATCAACAGGATTATTACCTTCTAAGTCATTGAAAACAGCCGTTTTATCGGGGAATGTTACGCTCAATCGTCGATTGTGATTGTAGTTATATTGGTTGCGTCTGTTTTTTTTGCTATGTTGGAATTGTTTTATTAGATATTCACCGTCATTTTTGGAGATTATTGCAATTGGTACACTAGATGAACTAATGACTGGTTTAAAAGGGCCCGTTACATTGAAGTAGAAGATGGCTCCTAGTGCACCAGCCATTTGAGCATTTTTAACTTTATCGTCAAAGAAACATCCACCTCGTCTTATCAATGCCAATTTTCCAGTAAGATTTTTAGCAATTGGATTACAAGCATCATCTACTGGATCTTTAGCATCACTGGTTGGGACAATCTTTAATGGACCATCAAGGTCGAATTTCAATCCCACACGTCTTGTAAAATAAGCAATCTTTTTCTTTGGTTGAGTACTTGGCACCAAGTAATTTGTAATGAATTTGAAATCATTTACAGAACCAACAGTTATAACATCTTTTCCAGAGTCGGGAGATCCACTACTAAAAAGTCCACTAAAACCATCATTAGGAGCAGCAGTAATTACATAAACCCCTTTTTTTGCCAAGTTAGAGGCGGCTACAGCAGTTGGATTTTCAGGCCAACCATCAAATGAAACTCCAAGTGACATATTTATTATGTCCATTCCATCATTATCAGCAAATTCCATTGCTTTAATGATCAGATCATCTCCTGTGCCTCCAGAACAGTCTGTTACTCTATAAACACCAAGGATTGCTAATAATTATTTTATTTTTGGAAGGAGGAAAAATATTAATTAACCAATTGAAATAATTTACAGGATTTAATAATCGAAAGATTTTATTTTTACCTTTAGGAGCAACACCAGTAAAATGTGTTGTTGAATCGTTTGCGCCAATAATTCCACTTACATAAGTTCCATGACCATCACAAGGTTCAAATGGGTCATCATCAGCAACAGGATCATCACTATTACCACTTCCAATGAGATCTGTACCAAATTGAATCCTACATCCAGCTGTTTTAAAACAACCACCAAATGCTGGGTGTTTATAATCAATACCTCCATCAATAATTCCAACCTTTTATGAAAGAATATTTTTTTAAATTATTAGAAGAAAATTAAAATATGAAACATTAAAAAATATTAAAGGAAAAAGAATTTTTATTTAAATACCTTTATACCATTTCCAGTTAATCCTAATCTGTTTTTAGCATATGATACACCAGTTACATCATCAGCAAAGAAAGATCTTGTATTATATTTGTTCTAACAAATTAAAAAATTTTATAGAAATTAACCACTTTATTAATTAACAAGATTTTCAGAAAAATTTAACTTACAACTCGCCAAACAGTATTGACAATAGGTAAATCAGAGATTGTATTGATATCACTAGCATTATTCAATTTGATCGACACAGCTTGTAATATATTTAACTTTTGACGAATTGTGTATTGTATTCCTTTTTCGTCGATTTGACTTAAAAGAATCGCCAAAGATTCATTTCCCGTACCAGTATGTTGTACAATAAAAACATTATTCATAATCTTAGATCCACTCATCAGTGAATTCAAAATTACACTTGATGTTTGACATATCGCAAAGCTAAAGATTAATAATGCCAAGATTATTATCATTGATGATAACAATTTTGATAAATTCTTCATATTTTTATTTCTAAAATGTTTCTTTAACAAATCTATCTATAAATATAATTTCTAATAATACAATTTTCTAATAAACAATAAAATTCTAAATAAAAATCTATCAATTGGAAAGGTAAAAAAATGAGAAATAAAAAAATATTTTCAGTTTTTACAAAAAAAAAAAAAAAATAATATCTATATATATATATACAAGTCTCATTGAAAAAAGAAAATTCCACGCCAATTTACAACTTTGGAAGAAATCTCGAAAGTTAATATAATAATCTAATATGGGAAATCTTTTGACGCCTTTTAAAAAGAAATGGATATTGTGTAACGATTATGAACAATGCCCAGAAAAAAACTTGCTATGATGAAATCATATCGTATCATTTTTTTTTTTATATTTGCTATTGTATGCAAATTTTTGACATTATTTGTTTATTGTATCACATAATGACATACCTACTTTGAATTAATCCAATAATTGATTTAAAAATGCACAACGACGAAATGAGGTTTTATTATTCTATCATCATTCATTATACAATGGACCAATATAATTACATGGTTAGTGAAGGGAAAGTTATTATCATCACCCCGCCTTCGACTAAATTTAGAAAACAATAATGACACATTTTGAAAATAAAAAACGATACTAATTTACTTAATATAGTTTGATTGATTGTGTTACCGTACATTCCGAGTAAACTATAGAAACTATTTTTTTTTAACAATTTGGGAAATTTTATTGGAAAACTCTATTTAATTATGCAGGGCAATCCTAAACATAAAAAAAGCACTATAAAATGAAGGTAACATTATTTTATCCCTGTTTGAATTTTGAAACCTAATACTAATTTTAGTAAGTGTTGATATTCAAAATGGTCGTTTCCCAAAATTTTTAATTTTATTAATTAAAATTCATTTTAAATACATTATTAATTAAAATTCATTTTAAATATATTATTAATTAAAATTCATTTTAAATATATTATTATTATTTTAATTAAAATTTCATTTTAAATATATTATTATTATTTCATTTTATTTCATTTAAATAATAATTAAATATTACTTGAACGGTTTAAAATTCATTTTTTTTTTATTTAATTTTAAATAATTAAATCAATTGACCATCTTTTTTATATTGTTTATTGTTTTTATAATTGAAAAATTGTTGTGCTTCAATAACATACACCCTAAATTATTTTACATCTTCTAGAGACATTTACAGCAAAATTGAAAATAAAAGCCTAGCTTTAGATAGAAGGTTCCTTTTGATATAAAAAATATTCATCGGAAAGCTTTAATGTGGAATTTTAATTTGCTTTAGATATTTTTAAAACATGGGTTGTTACACGATTCGAATTATACACACCCACTATCCGTGCAAGCAAAAAATGTCAGTATGGCGAGAATGTCATTATAACGGAAGTTCATATACAAGGATCATTATTATTATATTATAGTTTTAAATTAGTTATTTATTTGAAGCATAAAAATCTAAACTAATTTGTTTGGCATCTCTAAAACCCGATTCATGGCTAATTTATCTCGAGCACGCTTACATAGTTTTTTTCTTGGATGAAGATGCAAATGTTGAACTCATTTTTAAAATAAAAAAAATTAATTACGATTTTAATAAAGAACAGTCATTCAAAAACAATCAATAATTTTTATTAAAATTACAATTTTACAATCAATTAATTGTTCACAAGCTAATTAACCTATTTAATCAATACTTTTACATGTCATTATGACGGATGTCATTCAACGAGCTGTTATTATAACGGGAATAATTTGTTGCATATATATATATATGACACTACAATCTGACTATTAATAGAAATTTATTTTTATCAAAATAAAAATAAAAATAAAAATTCCAAGTTATCATTTAGCTATCTTAGTTTGTAATACAGTTTATAGCACAAAAAACACCCTCTCAGGATAAAGTTTTCGAGTACGAATATTACGTAAATCAAATTCTTTTACGATTAAAATGGTCTCATATATATCACTACATTTCGTAATGAACATTTTTTGACACTTACTTGATCCTTCTGCAAGAATATTTGAAGCAAAAAAAGCATCTATATTGAATGATATTGAATGGATGCAAAGTATATATATGGACATTTAAACCCTTTTTCTAAATATCACATAATCAAGATCTTTTATAAATTGGATATATAAATTGTCCTTCAAACAAGTAAAACATGCTATCAAAGTCTCCTTCTTAGAACTATTTACACATTATTTTAGAAATGCGCAGAGATTATATGGGTGTTAACAAATTTTGAGTTACTTTAAGAATGAACTTATTAATGATGTTCCAATGTTGTTTGAGCAACTGGAGAAAGAAAAGAAAAAAGATTTGTATTATTTATAAAGATTGGGATCACCAAACTTATATCTTTAACAAAAATTTATTTTGTGCGTTCTGAATTTTTGTGCATATGCGTCATTTAGAATTCTATTATATAGAATTTTAAAAAATTGCGTTAAATTACTTTTTTCCGGGTTTGAATGTAACGTTTTTTAAAACTTTTAAATTTATTATGAAACTAATTACAAATTTTCTTTAATTAAAAAACAGGTTAATTTGGTTGTCATACAAAAGTTCAAAAATTGATAAAACGGGGATAAAATGACATTACCCTCATTTTTAAAAAATATATTTGGCGTCACACAATTTTCCTCCCGCCATATTTAATTTTAATTACAATTCAATTTACCATATCAGTAGATTTCAACCCATAAAAGGTTTTTACTATGAAATTAAACACAGGATGAAATACAAGTTTGACATTATGTGGAGCTTTCTGTAAACAAACAATGCCACAGAATATTCCAGGGTTTCGAATTTTTATATAGTATATAGAAGAAGCTTTTTCATTTTTTTGAAATAAAAAAATAAAGTTTTTGAATTTTTTCAGAAAAGTTTGTTGAGATGGAGTTAGAACAAAGATCAATGGTAGGGCTCAATCTATTTAAATTTCATTTATCCATTATCCACCCATACATTCATTTTTATCCACTTCCTACAATTTATCTTTTACTGCTGTAAGTGATGGGCACGTGATTGCTTGAAAGTTATTTTTAGAACACAAATAACACAATTATCTCTTCTTCTGCTACCTTTTAGTTGTCGCCATTTTTCTTTTGGGCATTTTCATCTCTTTCAACGAATTTTTGGATAACAGTCAGTAATAGTAATAATTATTATTTGTTAATGCCCACCCATATAATAATATAATCTCAGCGCATTTCTAAAATAATGTGTAAATAGTTCCAAGAAGGAGACTTTGATAACATGTTTACTTGTTTATTTTATTAAAATATAAGCGCAATATACAGTGCGTCTCGATTTACCGGTGGACATTGATTTTACGGATAAAATTTCAGAACCAAATCCGCTTATAATAATAAAAATTTGATATTACAGATTTTCATATAAAATTCTCGATATTTGGTTTACCAGGACCTCGGAATATATATGTGGGAATGAGGCGGTTTTGTATTTTTTTACTAATAGCTCTATACAAAGCTAGTATGGTACTTTACATCAGATAATTGGAAAAAAAATAAGCAAATTAATCTTCCAATCTTTGATCATCATATGATTTTAGGCCAACCCAATTTCAACGTAAAGCCATTCTTTTAATAATTTTTATAGCAAAATACAATATATATTTAATTATAAGTCGCCATTTGCCCTTCATCTGCTTTGCATCCTTCCATTTCCTGCTGAGTTTAATTTTTTCTTGGAATGGGTAACACAAGCAACGAAATCATCTGGATTGGATTATATATCACTATTTTTCTTTTAACGATTATTAGAATATTTCTATCTGGCCCCTGAAACAAAAGTCAATTTATTTGTTTGGTTTAGGGTTAAATATATATAAAATTTTTTTTTAATATTTTATTTAAGCGGAGATTAATAAAAAATCACACAATCATGTAATTTATGATCTTAATGTGTACAAAAAATGTTAGTCTGTTGTCATTTGACGACTTATTTTCTTTTAAATAATAAAGAATTCTTATGTCTGCTCATTATGAATCAACTGTTATATTTAATAAATAAACTACAATAATAATGAGGTTGGCACCGCGCAAAAATTCTTTAATCGGTTAATTAGTCACGTGAAAATTTCTAACTGGTAAAATCAATCGTTCATTATAGAGACCTGCATGGATAACCCATATACATACTCGCATGATATTAATATTAATATCAAAAATTTTGTACCCGTACCCAAACCCGTTTCTCAAAATTTTATATTCAAACCAACCCATACCCAAAAAAAATTCCAAATTTTAACCAAATCCGGAATATACTCATATCTTTTTTTATTTAAAAAAATATAAAAAGTACAATAAAAAATTTTAAATTAAGAATTACTATTGAAAACACTACGTAAAACAAGAACACTATCAACTGTTTTTGGTCTTAAATTTGATCGGGATTCATTTATTGTTAAACCAGCTGCACTGAACTCCTTTCACTGGGTGCACTAGAGGCAGGAATTGATAAATAATAAGAACATAATATTGATAGTTTTGGATAATGATCTTGATGAGCTTTCCACCATTCTAAAATGTTTAAATCCAATTCCTTTTGTACTTTTGAAGACAAATATTTATCAATTTCATTTTCTTCAGTTTCATCATTATCTGAATCATAAAACTAACTAAAATCTGTTAAATCAACGTTAGTTTTTTTTTTAATAGGTCTTATATCACCTTCACCACCACTACCATTATTTTTATCACTAGCAAGTTGAAACGAAAGAATCTCATACTGGTGTCTTATTTTATTTTTTACCCATTCAGCATAAGATTCCAAAATTTTCAACTGCTTCATCCGAGGATCAAAGAATAAAGCC